GACGTGGGAGTTGTATATGTACAAAATAACTGTTGACAAACACTTTCTGTGTATTTTTCACTCAACAATGTATTGTACACGAATTAAGTTCTGGTTGATTGTCTGGCGAAGCCCTCCACCACCACCGAGATGGCTGGTGTGAACTTCATTATGATGGCCAATGCGACTCTCGGTCATGGCTAGGTCCTAGCTGCGTATCATTTCGTGTCATGTGTTAGATATCTAGTGAACCCCACCATCTTCACCCACGTCATCGCCTATACTACTGACTTTTGTCTTCACACGTCACGTGTTTTATTAGTATTTTTTGTTTGTCCGTACCATTAGTCTGGTACACCGGCAAAAAATTTAGGTATTAAAAATAAAATAAATAAACCTTAGGTTTGACTTTTAAATTCTCTTTTTTTTTTTTTTTTTTTGAAACAGGAGAAATTTGCAGTAAAAGAGAAATAGGGCTTAAGATTTTAACCCAAAATCATTACTTCAATCACACCCATTTAAGGAGATGATTAGATCACCGAAGGTTGGAGGTTGAAATCAAATTTTAGCTTCTTATCTTATAAAATTGGTAGGTTTTATCTCATAACCTTATACTCCTCATATTATAAAGTTGATAGGTTTTAACTTCTTACCTTATATTATGATATTTTTAATCCCTTATTTGTATGAATTAAAGAAAATAACTTTCACTTAACATTATGTTATAATGTTCTATTAGTTCTATTAGTTGATTGTAAATTCTGCTAATTGACTGTAGATTTTGTTAACTGATTGTAAATTCTGTTCACTGACTGTTAACATCTATTAGTATTCTGTTAATGAAACTAATAAATAAAATTGAATTTAAATTTAATGTTTTCTATAATAGAATGCTAACGGATGTTAACAGTCAGTTAACAAAACTAATAGAATATTATAATCTGATATTACGTAAGGGTTATTTTCTTCAATTCGTATAGGCAAGGGGCTAAAAATATCATAATATAAGGTAAGAGGTTAAAACCTACCAACTTTATAAGGTGAAAAACTAAAACTTATTAACTTTGTAAGGTAAAATGGTGAAGGACTAAAACTTATTAAGTTTGTAAGGTAAAATGCTAAAAGTATTATGTTATAAATTAAGGAACTAAAACCTACCAATTGTGTAAGGTAAGGAGCTAAATGTTGATTTTTGCCAAGGTTGGACCCTTTTTTTTTATTTTCTTTAACAACGAAAAAAATTAAAAAAAAACATCAATTTTTGCACTTGTAGTATAAATTATATAACGAATGTATATTTCATTTTATATGTTTTATCTATCATTTCACGTCTTTTATATTCACTTAATTTTATATAATACTTTAATAAATTACATTCATAAAACCATAATATTTATTGATTACTATATTTATAAAATTATCATATTTATGAAATTGATATAATCATCTTTATCTCTTTACTTATATATAAGTTAGCATTATAGGAAACGAAAAACTGAATAATGACAAGAAATAAAACAATAGGACGTGTATTTTTCTCTCTATTCTCTCTTTATAATCTTATTTTATCTTTTATATAATTATTTTCCTCTAACTCATTGGTCACTTATTTTAGAACAACTTGAACTTTTATGTTTGATCAATGAAGCCCTCAAATTGATTTTTACAAATATCTGTTACCATAAAATAATAGTCCTATCTTATATCACATCCTAGCTAGCAAATGTAGGCTCCAGTAAACAACTAAAAGTAACAACAATTTGATCCCAACAAATTTAACCACACAAGAGTACTACACACTCCCTTAGAAAGTTATTGTGCTCCTTTTTTCCAGAGAAAAATACAGTAGACATGTGAAATTCTCAAAAAAAAGATGATATTATAGGAAGTCAAGACCTAGTCTGGTTCAAGAAATGCAATATACTTTCCTACAACTTACCTACATATTGCATCTAGCGGAATTTGATTGAGCCATTGATATAAGTATCTCTTTAAGCCTCATAAAGCATCCCAACCTCAATACACTGT